CCCCAAAACCCCAAAACCCCAAAACCCCAAAACCCCAAAGAAATATCCTGAAATTGAACTAAAGTGAGTGAAATTTTTGGTTAACAAACACAGAGAAAAGTGTTATATCTATTAGGATTCTTAACAATCTTAAATTAGTTCTAAAGTTTCCTTCTTGATACCTCATTATAATCTAAATATGAAATGAATTTGGACTAAGACAAATTTTCCTTTAAGAATTAACTAAGAACTTCTTCTTGTACTCTTCTATCCACTTGAATTCCTTCTTGAAATTGTAATCAAACAAGATTTCCTGACCAATCTCTATTCTTCTTGTTGAGTAGAGGCCAACCTTCTGGTCCCCGTTGACATAGGTGATTACTTTCGGATTGGCATTGATGAAAGGACCAACTGAGTGGTTAGCATATCTCATTATGTTTCCAACTTTGGAAGCATCAACAGCATATTTGCTGTTGAGAGTGAACAGATAGGTCTCTTCTATCGCATCCTGGATAACTCCTCTATCCTCGCTATCTCTGTCAGTAAGGATTTCTCCTGAATATAAGCAGATATATTCTTGGGGTTCTATTATTTCACCAGAGAAGAGACCCAAGCCAGGGCAGATTTTAGATTTTCCAACAAATAATTTTCTCTCTCTTCTAGTAATCATGTCATTGTTTCTACATAAATTACTTAGAGCAGGGAGTGCTCTTCCATTTAGCAAGAGAATGCTAGTTTGGATATCACATACACAGGATTTACAGATTTCAGGGTCTCATTCTCTATTGTTCTTCACACAGATACAAGAGCTTGGCCCTCATGAACCAGGAAGACAGGTACATCCAGGGAATCTCTTATTGCAATAACTGCTGCAGTGACAGTATTTCTCACAGTATCTATTATTTTCCATTCACTCACACCCATTATCTTTTGAGCAGGCTCCATCATGATGACATGGATTGATGCATTCAGCTTTCATAGTATCATCGAATAGTTCTTTCGATTGTCTCTTTTGCCTCTTTCTTCTGCTGCTTCTTGACCTACCTCTCTGGCTAGGAGCTGGAGCTATTTGGATCTGGTACGCACATTTGTCAAGGTAGTCTTCGATATTTATTCTCTGTTCTTCCTTCTCACGACGAGCTTTGATAAACTTGCCATTCGAGATAAGATAATTGTTAATCTGAGCTCATTTATCTAATCCTAGGAGGTAGTTTATTTGGCAACTTTTGAGTGAATGCATTCCAATAGAGAGTCTATCAATGGCAGTCCTCTCTTCAGGAGTGAAGTTTACTTTAACAAATCTTGAACCCTGTGCGAAAGCTCAACTTTTCTGATTCATGCATTTGAAATTATATGGATTTTCCTCTCTATTTTTGCATCTTTAGCCTTTCGGAGATGTTGAAGAAAGTTTTGTTTTCTTGTAATAGGATCTCTTCTTCAAAAGTAAGCTTTCTGTCTGCATAAATCTTGATTCTCTTGTTACTCTCTTCGAGGATGAATGGGTTATAGGGCATTTCTTCTAATTCCTGGCCATCATCATTTCCATCCTGTCTTTCAATAGGAGTGTGGAAAGGACACGCAAAAGTGAAGCAGACAGGACAGAGACACTCTTTAAAACATCTGTAAGTAGACTCTGTGATTTTTTCTTTAGCTTCATTATGGTTCTTCTCAGCGAGTATGTCCTCCTGTATTTCAATCAGCATCTCTTTAAGGTCAGTGATGCTATTTTTGCTAAGCCTGAACCTCTTCTCTCCTTCTTTATAGTGGCCATATCTCTTGTTTTCCTTCTGGATCATTTCTTCTAAGATCTTAAGAATCTTGTTCTTGCTCTTCTGGGTTTCAAGAAGTTTACGAAGGATCGGCTTAAGAATGGTCTCATCTTCTCTCTGGATCAAATCTGCTGCTTGCCTACATGCCTTCTTCTGCTCCTCGATAGGATCATTTTTGAGATCTTCTTGGTGCTCATGAATAACTTTATCACGAGATTCAGGGTCTCTGATGAGGAAAAAGTCAGGTGTCTTCTGGGCCATGAAGAGGCAATCATCCCCGATATTTACAAACGTCTTGTACTTTATCTTCGGATTTGTTGCATGAATGTTGACAAAGGTGTGATCTTTGTCAGCTCTATCCTCTGGTGAGATCATGCTGGGCTTTTGGGATCTTTTTGATATATTTTCAGGCTCTCTATAGTGACCAATAAGACCTCAAAGTTGGTAAGGACGTTCATGTATGATAAAGAAGGGCATGAAATGCACTTAACCTACCTTTCCCCGTTTAAAATATCTGCAATAGTTGTATAATGGATTTTGTTAGTCAATTTTGGCTCTTGGGTTCTATTTCTGATAGAGGCTTTTAACCTTAGAGTAAGTGAACAACTTCAGAGCATTAATTCTTTTGATTTGAGTCTTTTTGAGCTAGATGGTTACTGTTGGAGTACTCACCTCGTTTTTGTATATAGTTTTGCAGTCTATCCTCTCCATTTTAGAAAATTGTGCCTCTTTGTTCAATTAATTTTACACAAGGCGGGGTTTTGGGGTTTTGGGGTTTTGGGGTTTTGGGGTTTTGGGG